TGAGCATGAAACCTCAGAAGGCCTGGAATAAGATTCCATCATCTATCTGATCCCAAGGTGTCAGCCTTTACCCCAGCAGTGCTGAGTTTTCTTCTTGGTCTTGAAAAAGGAGTGTAATGGAGGATGGAGAGGGGAAAGCTCTGTCTTCTCCTGAAAAAGAATGTCCTCCTCCTCCTCCTCCTCCTCCTTCATCATGACTGGGCTTTAGTGCCTAGGACATTTGAGGACAGAAGCGTCTCCTCCATGCTAGAGTTGAGCGGCACAGATTTCCACCTTGGCTTCTACAGTTGAATTTTTTTCAAACCCCAGTCTTCGTAGTAGAAGTGGGGTTACTGGACTTGGTGATTTTCTTTCCTTCATCTACCTTTCACCAGGAGCTGGACTCGTCGTTCCCTCAGGACAAACTAGCTGGCACATTATCCTTCTCTTTCTCTTTCATTAGCTCTTTCTCTTTGATCCTTTCCAGAAGATCCCAGATTCTTCATAAGAGTTTTTGGTGGTATAAGAGTGTTTAACCACCTCTAGACTTTTCTTTTTAAATTTTATTTGGTGGTTTGCAGTTGTTGTTTTATTTTTCTTTACAAATGGAGAAAAGAGGACACAAAACAGTTGACAAGCTGGATAGTTTCAAATCAAAACTCCAAACTCCTATTCATTGGGTTCCTTAGAGAGCCCAGTGTTTGTGAAGCAGAAGTATGGTGTTTGCTCTGTCAGAGCTGCTCCTCTTCAATGCCTCTTCTCTTAGTGAATTTCTTAAGCTGAAGGAATGGAGAGAGTGGGGCATGGGGTGGTCTTTACCCCTTTTGGTAAAACAATGGGGCTGAGAAAACCGAGCCTTTTGTAGGCAGGAACCTACTCATGCCAGAACATAATGATCATTACTGTTTTGCTGTTTGAAATGTATTCTGCTTGTTTTTCTAAATATAAAAACTTAATCAAAATGTATTTTAGAGCCTTCTCCAAAGGAGATTTCCTCTTGCTCTTTCCATATTTGCTAACAATGTGTTGTTCATGAAATTGAAAGGGAGAAGGAGACATCAGTGTCAATGTGGCAGGCGGTATATATTTTATGAAGCTAGAGAATATTTTCTTAAACTAATGGGGAGACAGCAAATTCTTGCCTTGGTGAGATCATTGCTATGCCTCATGTCCTGTGCCCTCTCTGTGCAAAAAAAGGTTAAAACAGGCTATGAAAGCCCTCTCCAAAGGATGTGTTTCTTCATCATTAACTCGTATATGGGAGGTGTGGGCCTGGCTTCTCAGGCAGGTTATTGAGTTCCCATACTAGCCCTTTTCAGTCCCACCCTACCTTGATCGGAGGTTAGTCGATACCCCCTCAAGTAACTGTCTATATTAGACATCTCCAGCCAGTTTTAGGCTGTCTGACTTTGCTGCCATGTTCTTTTTTACAAGAAGGGGAGAAAAACAGTTCTTGAGTTTTCCCCCCCCCCCATAATTTACTATTTATGATGTATTTAAGTGTTTTATTCAGGACTGAGTTCTGTAGCGGGTGGGAGAAAATACTTGTGGGAGGGCTGGGTATTAGGGAAAGGAATGGGGAATCAAAATTTTTATGAAGTGTCACTATTTGCCTTTAGTTTGTATTGTTCAGAAATGGCAAATGCAAATATCAAGTGATATCTGGTTTTAATGTATTAAACTTTTATCAGTTATTTAGATTTCTGGTTTTTTTCCTGTTTTTTTGTCATCATGTAAAAACTACATAGTGAGCCTTCAGGAAGGCAGCATCTGACCTCCACTCACTTCACGAGGGTGAAGAATCCCCATCAATACTAACAGCACATGATTCCAGACCTCCAAGCTCAGTGATTTCACACCCTTCTTCTGCCATTTTAATTCTAACATCAGTGGACCCTCCCACCACACTCACTGCTTCTCCACAGGGTTCTAGAACTCATTGCAATAACCATACAAAACTCATACAATACTTATGTAACTATGAGACTTATGAGGGAAGTAACAGGTTAAAATTCCAACTCAGAAAGAGGATACAGCTCTTCACTCAAAAGCCTCTACTCAAGTGGGCTGGAGACAAGCCTCTGATCCCTTCCCCTGCAACTTTGGTCTCTGCCCTGCTTAGTGTTACGAAGCTCCTTTAGCCCTGCATGTTCCATCCTTCTGTGTCTACACGCACTCACCTGAAGTCCTTCAGCTTTATTTCCTGAGCCACCAGACTTAGTTCCTCACTAAATGATGAAAGAACCCACTTCAGCAGGCCCTCGTCTTTCTCCTTGAGTGCTCAGGAGCCATCCCCAGTGAACTCTGCTGCTGCATCTCCTACCCCTCTAGGGTTAGAGCTTTCCACCCCTGGAGTACATGGGAATCTCAAATCCAAAGGGTACACTATACTCTGGTACTTTCTGGTAGAAGATCCGCATTGCCTGTGGGCCAGCTCAGGGTAAAGCCGGGAGAAATGCAAAACTGACCAAATCCCCACATTATCATTCTACACACATTTGTATGGCTCACTTGAAAGATGGCATTTACCTTTCTTTAAATTATCAGCAAGTTATTTCACCCCTTTGTTGGACCAGTCACCTCACATATTGTCCTCGCCAACCTTGTAAGGAGCTCTAGTAGCATCTAGCACATGGCAGTAGCTGTTCAAATCTACCAACAGCTCTGTGGGTAAAAGATGGGCAGTTTCCTCTTAAAGATGTATAGCATCTAGTCATGCATTCAGACACATCCCTCATCTGTGTAAATGCACTGTTGATTATCATTTTTATGACTAGATATATGTATGACAGCAATCTGGAACAAGAGGTGCACTGCATAGAGGACTGAGGGAGAAGAAGGAGGGAAATCTGCAACAATGAGAGATTGTTTTTTTCTTATATTTTTTTGAATTTCATTATTTTTGTGTGAGTGTACCGTCAAATCAGATCCGACTGGTACAGGTGGAGATTGTCCCTCCTTCCCCGGCAGAGCATCTGGTGGATTCGAACCGTGCACCTCTGGGATTGTAGTTGCAGCTCCTTGCCACTAGGCCACCAGAACAATGAGAGATTCTAACCTCTCTAAATATTTGTTAAAATCACACACAGAAATAACCCCAGAATCTGACAATTTCATTGAGCTGAAGTCCCCTCAATGACAGTTGGAATTTTTTTGAACCAATCTTGGGGTGGTGGTGGTGGTTAGGTGCCATTGAGTACAACTCACAGTGACCTATTCTGTCCTGTGCCATCCTCACACTTCTGACACATGAGCTCACTGCTGCAGTCACCATTGTCAATCCACCTGGCTGAGGGTCTTCCTCTCCCTGGCCGGCCCTCCACTCTTCCCAACATCATGTCCCTCTCCAAGGAATAGCAACATACCCAAAGTATGTGAGGCAAAGCCTCATCATTCTTACCTCCAAAGAACACTGGCTGGCTGCACCATCTCCAAGACATAGTTATTTGTTCTCTTGGCTGTCCATGGGATTTTTTTCCCCTTTGTTTTTGTTTTTATTAAATTTTATTAATTTTAATGAACATTTACAGAGGTTTAGGGTTTCCATTCATTCATTGTTGCACTATTTTCTCTACCCTCCCCCAGTTCCTTCCTCTTCCCCCCCCCTTGAAAGTGTTATACTACTTGAAATAGTCCCATTGCCACAGAGCTGCTTGTCAAAGCCAGTTCTGATTAATCTCCTTTGTCAGTGTGTCCTTTGCCATTCCCTATCACTCCTCCCTGATAGAGACTTCACCCTGATTCATAAGGAAAAGGGGACGGCGTATTCTCTTAGCTACTTCCTGCTCAAAAGGGACGCTGTAGGTTTCAGGGTGAAGATCTCTCACTACTCTA